CCCCCTCAGCCTTCTCTTGTGGAGGCTGAACAGGTTCAGGTCCCACAGCCTCTCCTCGTAGGGCCTGCCCTGCTGCCCCCTGACTATGTGGGTGGCCTCCTCTGGACCCGCTCCAAGTTGTCCACATCCCTCCTGAAGTGCAGCGCCCAGAACTGGACACAGTACTCCACCTGCGGCCTGACTAGTGCCGCACAGAGGGGGAGGATCACCTCCTTGGATCTGGTCGAGATGCATCTGTGGATGCGTGACAAGGTGCGGTTGGCCTTCCTGACCGTGTCCCCACACTGTCGACCTATGTTCATTTTGGCATCAATAATGACCCCAAGATCCTTTTCTGCCTCTGCACTGGTGAGAAGGGAGTTCCCCAGCCTGTAGGTGCGCTGCTGGTTCTTCCTCCCCAGGTGCAGCACCTTGCACTTGTCAGTGTTGAAACCCATCGTGTTCTCATCAGCCCACCCCTGTAACCTGTCCAGGTCCAATTGCAGCCTATTCCTCCCTTCTAGCGTGCCCACCTCTCCCCACATCTTAGTGTCATCTGTGAATTTGAACAGGGTGCTTTTTACCCCCTCGTCCAAGTCGCTGATGAAGATATTGAACAGTGCGGGTCCAAGGACTGAGCCCTGGGGGACCCCACTGCCCACATCCCTCCAAGTTGAAAATGACCCATCCACCACCACTCTCTGGGTGCGGCCCTCCAGCCAAGTAGTGACCCATCTTACTGTGTAGGTGTCAATGCCACAGTCCCCTAATTTTTTAATGAGAATGGGGTGGGAGACAGTGTCGAAGGCCTTCCTAAAGTCCAGAAAGACTATGTCCACTGCAACACCTGTGTCTAAGGATTTTGTGACCTGGTCATAGAAGGCCACCAGGTTGGTCTGACAGGACCTGCCTCTAATGAACCCGTGTTGGTTGCCCCTAAGCATAACCTCCCCTGCCGGCCCCTCGCAGACGTGCACGAGAATAATTCTCTCAAAAAGCTTATCCAGGATCGAGGTAAGACTGACTGGTCTATGGTTTCTTGGGTCCTCCTTCCTCCCCTTTTTGAAAATGTAAACCACATTGGCCCTTTTCCAGTCCTCTGACACCACACCAGAGCACCACGAGTGCTCATAAAGCCATGCCAGGGTCCCGCAATGACCTCTGCTAATTCCCTCAGTGCTCTGGGGTGGAGATCGTCAGGACCTGCTGATTTAAATACATCCAGTCCCTCCAGAAGTTCCCTGACTAGATCCTCACTGACCCTAGGCCTGGATGCGCCTCCCCCGGAGCCTGAGGGGGTCCTGGCGGGCGGGCTGATCCGGTCCCTGCTCAGGAAAATGGAGGCAAAGAAATTGTTAAACTTTCTTTCTGTATGCTGTTTTATTGGTTCTGGGTTATCATTGTTTTCATCCTCCGGACAGAAAGATGAGGAGACCTGGGTGCTCTATCCATTTATTCATCAAGACAATGAGAGATTGAAAGGGTTATAGGAGTCAATCACCAGGATCCAGAGTGAAAATATATATATATATATATTTATGGGACAAAAGGGAGTGTTGGATTCCCCCCCAGGCCCTGTGAGGGGCAGAGGGCTGTAGGTCAGGAGTGAGGAGCACTGGCATGGGTACTGGGGGCAGAGAATTTTTTGGATTTGGAGTGAGGGACACTGGCCTGAATACTGGAGGGCAGAAGGCTGTGGGGCAGGAGTGGGGGGCACCAGCATGGACACGATTGCTAGTTCCCATTTATGATGTCCCGGATCCAGGACAGGTAGTTACACACCCGGGTGTAGACACCAGGTTCATTGGGCCGCCCACAGACTGGTGGGCCCCAGGACACAATGCCCTGAAGGACCCTGCCACACGTAAGGGGACCTCCGGAGTCGCCCTGTAGGGAGAAAGCATCCATGTCACAAAGAGGGTTCTCTCTCTGGCCCCCCATCCCATCCCTGAACCCACACCCCCATAGCGTGCCAGGGAGCAGAACCACCACCAGGGGTTGCTGGTGTGCAAGGCTGCTCCCTGTTGCCTTCTGTTGGTGGGTTCCAGCACTGCCCCCAGTACCTGGCAGCTATCAACACGGCGCCCTGGGATGCCGGCGCACATCATGTTGGGTGTGAACCATGCACCATATGCCTTACGGCAGAACTCATTGGAGAGGATCTGGAGCTGGGCACACTGTAGGATGTTGGGGTATATAGCTGTGGGAAGAGAGGCAAAGCAGTTGGTCAGGGACCAGACAGAGCCTGGGGTTCACTCTAGATTGGCCTCCAGTGGGGGAGAGGGAGGCAGAGTCTTGGGAGATCCCAGTGGGGAGGGACTCTGGATGGTTCCAGGTCAGGATGATACTGGAGTGACTCCAGATTGGTGCCAGGTAGGGGTGATAGCAGAGTGATTCTAGATTGCCTCCAAGTAGATGTGATAATGCAAATGGACTCCTGATTAACCTGTGGCATAGATGATTCTGGATTGACTCCAGATTGGCACCACGTATGGTGCGAGTGGTGATAATGAAGTGACACTAGATAGATGCTGGCTCAAGGTTGGTAATTAGGAGTCACTCCAGTACTGCTGTTGTCCTGTGCTGATGGAGTGATTCCAGGTTGACACCAGCTACGGTATGATGTTGATACTGGAATGATTCCAGATCGGTCCCAGGGGGTGATAATACTGGAGTGACTCTGGATTGACACTGATGAAACATGTGATGGTGAAAATGGAGTGACTCCTGATTGGCCATTAGAAAGGATAATAATGGAGTGACTCTGGATTGTAATGGGGAGCAAGGACGATACTGCAGTGACTCCAGGTTGATGCCAGGTAAGGACAATACTGGAGTGACTTTGGCTTGGCACTAGGTAAAGCATGATGGTGAAAACAGAGTGTCTGTAGATTAACCTACAGTAAAGATAATGAAGTCACTCTAGATTGACACCAGGTGGGGGTGGGTAAGGCTAATAATGGAGCAACTCTGGATTGACAAGTGGGTAATGAAGATGATCAGGAGTCACTCCATTATTGCTCTTACTCTTTGTCAATGGAGTGATTCTGGGTTGACACCAGTAAAATGTGATAATCAAGATAGAGTGACTTCTGATTGATCCATGGTAAGGGTAATAATGGAGTAACTCTAGGTTGCAGTGGGGTGTAATGCCAATACTGAAGTGACTCCTAATTGACACGGGGTAAGAAATGATACTGGAGTAATACAAGGATGATGCCAGGTGGGCCACAAGGGCAATACTAGCATGACTCTGGATTGCTGTGGGTGTAATGGGGATAATCGCAATTCCATTATTGCTCATAGCCTGTATAAGCAGAATAACTCTGATGCCAGGTTAAAATGATCTTGGAGTGACTTGGAAGAGATGCCAGGTAAGTGTGTAATGACCATACCAAAGTGATTCCTAATGGACATGGGACAAGGAAGATGCTGGTGTGACTCCAGATTGTTGCCCCATGTCAATGGAGTGCCTCCTGATCAATATTGGACATGGCTGAATCTTGAGTGACTCAGGATTGTGGCCATTCAAGCCTACCTGATGTCAATGAAGTGAGTCTGGATAGATATGGGGATAAGGGGGATAATCCAGAGTCAGTCTATTATTGCTTTGACCCCATGTCAATGGACTGACTCCAGATTGACACCATGCCAGGATTCAGCCTGTTCCCCTCTGACCCTGTTCTTACCTCCAGGGCTGTGTGTGGTGCCCCAGCCAGATACAAGGCAGGACTGCCCAGCACGGGGGCAGGCGCGGGGCAGGGCCACGGGCTGTACACTTTTGGTCACGACCACTGGACGCTGGAGCCGCATCAGCATGATGTCATTGTTGTAGGTTTGGGGGTTGTAGTTGGGGTGGACAATCGTCTTGATGACCCTATGGCGCTGCTCCATGAGGCTGGGGAGGCGCCGGTTGTGGACACCTAGGCGCACAAGCTGTGCCCTGGCATAGGGAGAGAGAGATGCATGGAGCACAGGGTGGCAGGGACACACCCACACATGAGTGTATACGCATGCATGCATGCACATGTGCACGCACAGAAACCAGGCGGTGTCCAGCATGCATGGACGCACACGCATGCATGCCCCCCCCCCC